CTGGATCATAAAGAAACAGAAAATTCCAAAAGACTGGTTACTAGAATGGAGATTGAATCAGTAACCTAAAACCTCCAAAAAAACAAAAGTCCAGGATCAGACAGTTTTGCTGGTGAATTCCACCAAACATTCAAAGAAGATTTAATACTTATCCTTCTCAAACTCTCGCAAACATTTCAAGAAGAAGGAATGCTTCCAAACTTATTATTAGAAGAAGAATGAGGGGAGGGAGGGGAAGGGGGAGGAAGAGAAGGAGGAAGGAGGAGGAGAGAGGGAAGGGAAGAAGGAAAGGAAAGGAAAGGAAAGGAAAGGAAAGGAAAGGAAAGGAAAGGAAAGGAAAGGAAAGGAAGAAAGGGAAAATTAATTACAGGCTAATCTGATGAACACAGATGCAAAAATCCTCAAGAAATTCAACAATACATTAAAAGGATCATAAACCATAATAGAGTGAGATCTATTCTAGGGATGCAAAGATGATTCAACATCCATAAATCAACCAATGCAATACACCACATTAACAAAATGAAGGATAAAAGTGATATGATTATCTCAGTAGATACAGAAAAAGCATTTGACAAAATTCAACATCCATTTGTGATAAAAATTCTCAAAATGTGAATAGAGGGAATGTACCTCAACATAACAAAGACCATATATGACACACCTACAGTTAACATTATACTCAATGGTGAAAAGGCTGAAAGCTTTTCCTCTAAGGTCAGGAAAAAGACAAAGATGCCCACTTTCCCCACTTTTATTCAACATAGTACTGGAAATCCTAGACAAAGCAATTAGACAAGAAAAAGAAAGAAGACATCCAACTTAGAAAGGAAGAAGTAAAACTATCATGGTTTATGGATAATATGGTTTTATATATACAAAACCCTAAGTACTCCACCAAAAAAAAAAAAACTGTTAAAATAAACAAATCCAGTAAAGTTGTCAGGTATGAAATCAATGTATAAGAATAAGTTGCCTTTCTATACATTAACTATTATTGGAGAAATTAAGAAGATGACCCCACTTACATGCGCATCAAAAAGAAAATATCTAGGAATAAATTTAACCTAGGAGGTGAAAAACTTGTACACTGAAAACTATAAGTCACCGATGAAAGAAATTGAAGGAGACACCAAAAAATAGAAAGATATTCTGTGCTCATGGATTAGAAGAATTAATATTATTAAAATATCCATATTACCAAAGCAATCTATAGATTCAAGGCAATCCCTATCAAAATTCCAATGGCATTTTTACAGAAATAGAACAAATAATTCTAAAATTTGTGTGGAACCCCTAAGGCCCCAAATAACCAAAGCAATCTTGAGAAGGAACAAAGCTGGAGACATCACACTCCCTGATTTCAAACTATACTGCTATCATAATCAAAATAGTGTGGTATTGGCAAAAATCGACACATAGATCACCAGAATAGAACAGAGAGCCCAGAAATAAACTCACATGTATATGGTTAATCAATTTATGACAAAGGATCAAGAATATATAATGAGGGGGCGCCTGGGTGGCTCAGTGGGTTAAGCTGCTGCCTTCAGCTCAGGTCATGATCCCAGGTCCTGGGTTCGAGCCCCACATTGGGCTTTCTGCTCAACAGGGAGCCTGCTTCCTCCTCTCTCTCTGCCTGCCTCTCTGCCTACTTGTGATTTCTCTCTGCCAAATAAATAAATAAAATCTTAAAAAAAAAAAAAGAATATATAATGAGGAGGGGTGCCTGGGTGTTTCAGTTAGTTAGACATTTGCTTTCGGTTTGGGTCATGGTCCCAGGGTCCTGAGATCCAGCCCTGTATTGGGCTTCTTGCTCGGTGAGTCTGCTTCTCCCTCTCCCTCTGCCTGCAGCTCCTCCTGCTTGTGCTCTCTCTTTCTGTCAAATAAATAAATGAAATCTTTAAAAAAAAAAAAGGGAAAAGCTGATAAATTGGACTTCATCAAAATAAAAACTTAAAAAAGGAATAGAAAATGAGGAAAGGACAGTCTCTTTAATAAATATTGTTGGAAAAAACTGGACAGCCACATGCAAAAGAATGAAGCTAGACCCCTATGTTACACGATACACAAAAATTAACTCAAATGGATTAAAGACCCAAGTATAGGACCTGAAACCATAAAACTCCTAGAAGAAAATATAGGCATTTAGCTCTTTAACGTTGGTCTTGGCAACAAATCTTTGGATTTGACTCCAAAAGCAAAAGACAACAAAAGTAAAAATAAACAAGTGGGACTACGTTAAGCTAAAATGCTCTATGCAGCAAAGAAAACCATCAACAAGATGAAAAGGCAACCTATGGAATAGGAGAAAATATTTGAAAAATATTTTTCCAATAAGGGGTTAATATCCAAAATATATAAAGAACTTATGCAACTCAATAACAATAGGAAAAACAAACAAACAAAAACAACAATAAAAACCCCAAAACCCAAAAACCCAAACAAAAAAACCCCAAATAACCCAATTTAAAACTGGAGAGAGCATCTGAATAGACCTTTTTCCAAAGAAGACATACATATGGCCAACAGGCACATGAGCAGGCAGAGCCTCAACATCACTCATCATCAGGGAAATTCAAATCCAACCCACAATGAGATATCACATTACACCTGTTAGAATGGTTATTATTTAAAAGATAAGAAGAGGTACGCGGTGGTGAGAATGTACAGAGAAAGCAACCCTTGTGCACTGTTAGTAGGAATGCAAACTGGTGCAGCCACAATGGAAAACAGTATGAAGATTCATCAAAAAAAAAATTTAAAATAGAGCTACCATACGAACCAGCAGTTCCACCCCAGGAACTTATCTGAAGGAAATGAAAACACTAATTTGAAAAGATATATGTAGCCTTATGTTCACTGCAGCTTTATTTACAATGGCCAAGATACAGAAACAACCTAAAGGCCCATTAGTGGATGAATGGATAAAGAAGACATAGTGTATATGCACAGCAGACTACTATCAGCCATTAAAAAAGAATGAAATCTTGCCATTTGCGACACTATGGGTGGACCTCAGGGGAATTATGCCAGGTGAAATAAATCAGACAGAAAGACCAATACCATATGATTCCACTTATACATGGAATTTAAAAAACTAAGCAATGGGCGCCTGGGTGGCTCAGTGGATTAAGCCTCTGCCTTCAGCTCAGGTCATGGTCCCAGGGTCCTGGGATCAAGCCCCGCATCGGTGTCTCTGCTCAGCTGGGAGCCTGCTTCCCCCCACTTCCTCTGCCTGCCTCTCTGCCTACTTGTGATCTCTCTCTCTGCCAAATAAATGAATAAAATCTTTTAAAAAAATAAGATAAAAAACCAAGCAAATGAACAAACAAAATAGTTATGAAAACAAATGGTTGGTTGGCAGAGGGGAGGAAGGTTTAGGGGTGGGTGGAGTGGGTGAAGGGAGTCAAGGGGTACAAACTTCCAGTTATAAAATAAATAAATGGAGATGTAATGCACAATATGCCGACAAAGGTCAGTAATATTTTGTTGCATATTTGAAAGCTTTTAAAAGAGTAAATCTTGGGGCACCTGGGTGGCTCAGTGGGTTAAGCCTCTGCCTTCGGCTCAGGTCATGATCTCAGGGTCCTGGGATTGAGCCCCGCATCGGGCTCTCTGCTCAGCAGGGAGCCTGCTTCTCCCTCTCTCTCTCTGCCTGCCTCTCTGCCTACTTGTGATCTCTGTCTGTCAAATAAATAAAGAAAAAAAAATCTTAAAAAAAAAAGAGTAAATCTTAAAATTCTTACGAAAAGAAAATTTTTTTTGTAATTTTGTACAGTGATGGATGGTAACTACACTTATTGTGGTGATTATTTCACAGTGTATAGAAATCTTGAATCATTACATTGTACACCTGAAACGTATATAATGCCATATTTCAATTAGTTGAAATGTTAAAGTCATTTTGTCAAATTATGTTGAATGTTAAAGTCAAAATGTCAAATTACTAATATAATGTAACTTATATTAGTTTCAGGTGTACAACATAATATAATATATAACATATAATATAATAACATATATTTTATTATAATACTATGTATAATATATATTATGTGTGTGTGGTATTTATAATATATGTCTATGACTTGAATTGGATTTTAATATCAGGTATATTAAAATTTTGTCAATAGTCAAAACATGGTTTATAACCTTGGATTATTTTATTTCATGTACCAACTTATTAAACCATGCAAAATAGCCATAAAAAAGATACAATTTGTGATAACATAAAAAATCAATTACTCAGGAATAAATATAATAAAATATACATAAGATCTCTATATTAGTAACTGTACATTACTGGGAGAAATTAAACAAAGCTTACATAATGGGATTATTTATGATGTTCGTGGATTAGAAATCTGCATATTGTAATATATTGATTCTACCCAAATTTAGCTTTAGACTCAACGAAGTTCCAATTTATTAAAAAATAGGATTTTGGGGGGATGGAAACTACAAGCTGATTCCAGAATATTTATACAAAAGGCCAAGAATAATCAAGACAATCCTGAAGAACAAAGCTGGAAAATCTATAATACCAGATATCATGACTTTTTATAAAGGTATAGTAATAAAAATGCTGTGACATCGGTGCAAAGACGGACAGACAAATTGTATCCGTCAGAGTCCAGTGAGGACACAGAAACAACACTAGTGATGATGTTGGCATGGATGACCAAAGCCAAGGTTTTACATTTGGTCACTCCTGAATATCAGGTGCCTAGGAGGGCAGAGGCTCAACCTCTCCGGTCCCTGCTGTGTCCCCAGCACCACCTGCCCACGGTCTGGCTCAGAATGGACACAAGCAGTTCCTACTGAATGAACCTCTGGACAAGCCAGTGAAGAGACCCCTTCCTGGACAGACTGACCATGAATGCTTATGGGCTGGGAGACAGAGCCTGCGTTTCCTTTGGAAGGTGAACCCCTGCCCCGGGGGCATAGGAGACAGAGCCTAGGCAAGGATCAAAGGCAGGGCTGATGCCCTGGTCTGATCACCTGTAGATGGAAGCCAAGGGGCAGGTAAGCCACATGTTGTTGGTCAACTTGCCCAATGGGTAAATGTCAAAGATGAAGTATGGCTGGTTGGTTTCCTTGACATGGTCGCAGGGTGCAAGACAGGCTTCCACCTGCAGTTCGGTCCGCAGACGGCTGGAGCGGGTCTTCTCCCCTCTCAGGTAGAGCCAGCACGGCATGGCTTTTTCCTGGGGCTCCTCGATGTAGCAGTAGCCCAGCCGCTTCCGCTCCCCGGGCTCCCCACAGCGGTTACAGTCCTGCCAGGGCTCCCAGTGGGTAAAGATGAGCACACGACCACCCAGACTCAGGGTCTCGTTCTGCAGGGGTTTCTGGCCCAGGCCTCTGTGGGTGATGTGCAGGGTGCTGACATCTTGGAAGTCAATCTCGTACTCTACCACAAGGGCATTGTCACTGTCCTGGCAGTGATAGAGGCCTGTCTGGGACGGCTGAGGGTTGGTCAGTTGAAGGCTGCCCCCAGGAAGTTTCTTTATGTTCGGCACAGAGGAGAGCAGGAAGGGATCTTCCCCCAAAATGGAAGAGAAGTACCAGAGTGCCTTGGGGTAGTCACATTGCAGGACAACATCATTGCCCGAGACTAGGGCCTGCTGGCAGAGACTCTTATAGGAACATCTGATTAATATCTCTGCCCACAGAGTGGGGAGAGAAAGGCTAAGCAGCCACAGGGGGGCCAACATGGTAGCCTGCTACAAAAGGATGCTGGGAACCACCCTGGGCATTATGAAGTCACCCACAGAACTCAGGCTTCAGCCCTGAGTGGAATGAAACCTGGTCCTGCCTCACTTTCTGGAGACACAGAAATCACTGGTGTGTCCCATTTCTAAAATCCACTGAGGAAATACAGCAAGGTCCTCCTGTCTCGTAACTGGGGAGGACTGCTTCATTAGCATAGCACCAGATCAGCTCATGGAGGTGGGACGGAGGTGTTTTCTAAGTCTTTGGTCCCTGTGCTCGTGTCTCCCGTCTCCAGAGAGATCTCTCTTTTTCCATTACTGACCTTGGCTGCATCTGAGGTGGCATTGAGAGAGGTGTCCTCCTTCCCTCATGAGCAGTGTTTTTGGCCTTCTCCCTGCCTTCCAAAGTTTGGGATCTAAGGATTCTTAAAAGCCTCCAGCCAACTCCATTGCAAAAACCCACATCCGCAGTTTGGCTCAAGATGTTCCCCATCGGGCACCTCAGTGACTCAGTTGGTTAAGCGATGATCCTGGAGTCCCAGGTAATGATCCTGGAGTCCCAGGATCAAGTCCCACATCAGGCCCTCTGCTCACTGGGGAGCCAGCTTCTCCCTCTGCCCCTCGCCCCTTTCATGCTCTCTCTCTCTCTCTCAAATAAAGAAAATCTTAAAAAAAAAAATGTTCCCCATCTCTCTCCCTCTCTCTTTCTCTGGTCATTGCAAAAACACTGTATCAGGCATCTGTGGAGAGCCATATTCTCCATCTCTCTCTCACTCAGCCCTTTTGCCTACCTGGGAGTATCTTAAGGATTTTCCAGGAGTATCTTAATTCATTCAGATATTTTAACAATGGTTAATGATGATTTAATTCGGGCTGTACCCTTGATTTTATCCTTGGCAGAATCTGAGTGCTAATTGGATTTTGTCTCTCAAAGGTCTTCCCAATATTTGGCCAATTTTAGTGAATTTTCACTCCTATTCTGTATTCCAACTGTTTCCCTCAAAGCGGCAAGTTCATGAAGTATATTATTTTGCCTTTAAAAGTATCTCAGGCAACAGTCTCCATCCTGCTGCTTTCAAAGACATTTTCTTGTTCCCTTTGCTCTGTGTCAAAGCCAACGCCATGCAATTTTATTTTTGGTTACAGCAGCATGTCAGTCCTGACACTGATTTCTGTTTCACTCAAGATAGTCTATTTGCTTCTATAGCAGACTTACCCCAAATCTCAATGACTTGCAAAAACAAATGTTTATTTCTCACTCAAGCTCCTCATCCACGGTGGGTTGGCATTATAATCACTCAGGGAACCAGGATAATAGAGCAAAGCCATCTCAAACATTTCTAGTTTCATGTCAGAGGAGGAAGAAAGAGAGATCTGTAGGATTTCGTGTCTACCATTAAATGCTCTGGCCTTAAATGACAGTTGTCACTTGCTCACAAACCACTGGCCAGAAACAGTTACAGGGCACTACCACCAATCTACCAACCCAACAAAGGAAACAGAATTCTACACGCCCAGGAAACCTTTGGCAAAAGGAAATCGGTAATGATTACTGCAGATGATGTTTACTACGAGGAGTGTTCTTTTATATCATAAAGTTGAGATCATTTCCAAAATTATCCCATCAGATCTCCTAAAGTCTCATTGGCCAGGATTAGGTCCCGTGTACAGACCCACACCAATCTCCAAGAGAAAATAGAATTTCCATGATTGGTTTAACAATCAGACTGTGTCTCTAGGACTGGGGAGGTGTGACCTTCTCTGACTACAGAAATCATTGAAGACAAACAAAATCAGGGCTTTGTATACAGGAGAGATGTAGAAGAGAATGCTTGTTTGGTGAGAGTAATTCTACGTTATCTAGAAGCTGAGAAGAATGCGCTGAAGCTAAGACGGTAGTCACTCATGTGACCTGGGAGAGGAGAACGTTTGGTATTTTGTGGCTTGGACCATGTTCTTGTCTTGTCTTTTCAGACATGATTATAGATTGATCTCACCTTTTCTTGGTTCACAATAGTCACAGAGAGGCTTTGTGTGATGTTGTTGTGTTGTGGAATTGTTTAAGTTCGACAACATAACATGATCTAGATAGCTAGGCTAGCTATCTAGTTCCTAGGCTAGCTTCTAGGAACACTGACACTGTTATTAGTGCCGGGTCATCTCCCAGCTATCCGAAGCTGTTTTTTTCTCTTTCTCAGACATTTAAAGAACTGCAGTGAAGTCTCTTCCTGCAATGGAATCCTGATCAAATGGCTTTCTCTTTGGGAACTGGTTTCCTCATTTTCAAAATAGGGATTTTAATAGTACTGGCTCCAAAGGGCACTTTTGAAGATTTGATGAGATTTTGTAAATAAAGTGGGGAATGCATAAGAAGGACCTTGTCCTCCAGATATCGGGGTTCTATATTCTGGTTGCATATTACTACCTCTGATCACAGAAGTGCAGACACAGAAGCAGACCACCATTGGTTTGACCCTCATTGGCTGAAACAGCTCCCAGGAGATTTAAAAGGACAGCCTCTGGGTTTTCTCCCGCTTTCCCCCCTTTTGGAAGCCAGACATTTAGGGATTAGGAGATTTGTAAGCAACCATACATAATGTAGGGGAACTTAGAAAGTCATTGCATGAGCCCAGGGAAAAATGCAAACTCAGAAGAGATCTGAGATGAACTCTAAGTTTGCACCTCAGGCACATCCCCAGCATAGAGTTACCTTACAAAAACAAATACTGCTAGCAAGCCCTGGGGAGGGGAGGGGAAATATGATTTCCAGAGTTACCACATTATAAGATTCAAATGTCTGTTTTGGACAACAACAACAAAAAATCATAAAGTATAAAGAAACAGAAAAGTATGACTCATTCAAAGGAAAAAATATCCTCAAGGAAGCCCAAGTGGTAGACATACCAGACAAAGACTTAAATAGTCTTAAAATGCTCAAGGAGCTTGAGAAGATATGGTGAGAGACAGGAAAATGATGCATGAACAGAATGAAAATATCACCGGAAATGTAGAAAATATAAAAAAGAACCAAACAGAAATTCCAGAGCTGAAAAATACAACTACTGAGATGAAAAATTCATTCAAGCAGTTAAGAACAGATGTGAGGAGAGAGAAGACACAATCAGTGAACTTGAAGAAGGATAACTGAAATTATTGAGTCTGAGGAACAGCAGGGAAGGAGACTGAAGAGTGAACAGAACGTAAGGGACCTATGGAAGATGATCCTGCAGACCACGTCCGTATTGTTAGAGTCCCTGAAGAAGAGAGAGAGAGAGCTGTTACAAAATTACATTTGAAGAAATATTGGCCAGAGACTTCCTAAATTTTATGAAAGACATAAATCTAAAAATCACAGAAGCTCACTGAACTTCAACAGAATTCACCTCAAAAGATCCACACAAATACATACTGTAATCAAACTGGTAAAAGCCAAAAAGAGACAAACTTGAAAGCAGGGAGAGAAGCTACTTGTTACATAAAGGGTTCCCCAGTAAGAGACTGGGCAGATTCCCCATCAGAAACCCTGGAGGCCAGAAGGTAACAGGTTGAAATTTTCAAAGTGCTGAAAGAAAAAAAAAAAAATACAACCAGGAATTCTATAATTAGCAAAAGTGTCCTCCAACAATTAGAATTAAAACACACCCAGATAAGCAAAAGCTGAGAGTTAGTTTGTTGCCACTAGATCTGCCCTGAAAGAAATTGAAATGAAAGGGTGTTTTTAAAAAAAAATCTTATTTATTTATTTGACACAGAGAGAGAGAGAGAGATCACAAGTAGCAGAGAGATAGGGGAGGAAGCAAGCTCCCTGCTGAGCAGAGAGCCTGACGTGGGGCTTAATCCCAGGACCCTGAGATCATGACCTGAGCCGAAGGCAGAAACTTAACCCACTGAGCCACCCAGGCACCCTGAAAGGGTGCTTAACAGTAACCATAAGCCATGGGAAGAAATAAAGATCTTCAGCAGAGGTAAATATATGGACAATTATAAAAGCTAGCATTTTATAATGCTAATTATAATAATTATAATTATAATTCCACTTTTAATGGTCTACATGACTTATAAGAAAATCCATAAAATAATTATTACTCTTTGCTATTGGGAAAACAGTACATAAAGTGTAGTTTGAGATACCAATAATGGAAAGGAGGTGATAGAGATGGACAGGAGCAGAGTTTTTATATGATATTGATGTTAGGCTGGTATAAATTCAAACCAAAGTGTTATAACTCTAGGGGGTTTTATGTGTAATGCAATTCCCAGGATTACCACAAATAAGATTACCATAGAACACATACAGTAAATGAGAAGGAAATCAAACATTTTATTATAAAAACATTAGCTAAACACAAAAGAAGGTAGTCATGGGGTAAATGAGGAGCCAAAAAAAGCTATAAGGCATACAGAAAATAAACAGCAAAGTGGCAAATATAAATCCTTCCTTATCAGTAATTTCTTTAAATCAAAAGACAGAGATTGGCAGAATAGATAAGGAAAACATGGTCCAACTATAGGCTGTCTACAAGAGACTCACTTTAGATTCAAAGACACAAGTAAGTTGAAAGTGAAAGGATGGAAAAGGATATTCCATGCAAATTGTAACCAAAGAGAGTTGGAATGGCTATGCTAATATCAGACAAATAGACTTTCAACTGAAATCGGTTTCAAGAGACAAGGAAGGACAGTATTTATTTTTTTAATTAATTGTTTATTTTTTATTAACATATAATGTGTTATTAGCCCCAGGGATACAGGTCTGTGAATTGCCAGGTTTGCACACTTCACAGCACTCACCATAGCACATACCCTCTCCAGTGTCCATAACTCAACCACCCTCTCCCTACCCGCCTCCTCCTAGCAACCCTCAGTTTGTTTTGTGAGATTAAGAGTCTCTTATGGTTTGTCTCCCTCCCAATCCCATCTTGTTTCATTTTTTCCTTCCCTACCCCACAAACCTCCCATGTTGCCTCTCAAATTCTTTGTATCAGGGAGATCATGTGATAATT